AGAAAAATTATTATCCTGATGAGTCGTACTCATATTAACAAAGTATGTTCTTTGTCTTTATCACTTTTATACAGCAGTTAAAGTATTGCACATTAACTATATTTTATACTTACCTTCTTAATCGCCTTGATGAGTTCTCCTCATGATTTTCTATGTTTAACTAAAATTTAAAAAGAGGTATAATGTTTTAATCAAATTATTTATCGTACAATGGACCTTTACGGGTGTTATTTTGAAGAAGGATGATCTAGGAGCCGAAATACAGTCTATGACCAGTGCAGGTTTAGGTGTATGGAAGTGGCCAAGCAAAGAGGATATTCTTTATTATTTCAAAAAAGATATTGTATGTGTCATAGACGAGCCAAAGGTTAAAAATACTAGAGGCCATTTTACTGTTCCAGAAATGAATAAATATGAATAAAATTAACATTTTTCCGAGTGTCCATTACTCACCCACAATGTGTTCATTACCTACGCAACTGTGTCCATTACTGGCACATTTGATGTAGTATCACAATATAAAATATTAAAATAACAATCATTGTTTTACGTAATTTGTTAACAGACTGTTAGAAAGTGCACTAAATAAGCTTTCATCTGGTGTGCTGCAAATTGATTTTGACCGAATATTAATAATAATAAGATTATTTAGATTTCAAATTTTCTCTTGAGTGTCCATTACAGGGGCAATTACCCTATAGGCGCAGACAAAAGCGTGCTCGAGCAGCTTTGAAAGCGTCCCGAAATCAAAGTGTACCTAGTACGAGTCGGGGCAGCGACCACAAGTCACGTACGCCATCCAATGCACCTCAATTACCAAAATCCAGCGACAAACAAAGATGAAAGCAAAACACCATCGTGGAGTTAGGGTTGCTATAAAATCGGACAGCACCGAGTTCACGCCTGGAAATCCAAATTTGAGTTCGTCGAAATGGATTGCAAAAATTGAACACTTGGCAAAAATTAACAATTGTAATGAGCCAACTATGGCATTTTTTAAATGCAGAGTCGTCTGAGCGGATTGGCTCGACGCTGGTATGATAATTTATCAACACATGTCGGCTGACTTGGAGAGAGTGCAAGAAATTGCTCGGAAAATCCTTCATTGAATACAGAGATTTCGCCACTACGTTACGTGCCCTAATCAATCAGATGAAGTTGCCTACCGAATCGTGGGAAAGATATTACTTTGAAAAGGTAGAACTTACAAATGCTTGCGATATTAATTGAGCCGCGTCGTGTAGTATGGGTGGCATTGAAGATCCAAGCGTCCAAGCAGGGGCCAGAGCGGATAGATATACGAGCCCAGACCGGCTTTCTGCTGTATACATCTGTGTTCTAAAACCTGAAAAGTCTCAGCACGACTTTGGTGAAAACTTACTAAAACTACGCATATCGAAAAATATTTTCCCAAGAACAAGAGCAGTCTTTGGCTGATTACGCAGTAACATACTCCAAGATGTATTACTGCCAAACAGTTCCAAAATAAAAAAAAATCGCTTATGAAATGGCCAAAGTGAACTATTTGCCTATTCCTGACAGCTGGAAAGTAAATAAAGAAGCTGAACATGAACGGTATTTAGGATTTATGTCAAGGAATAGATATTTAAGTCAGTGGCCGCTGATCAGGGGCGGCAAGGTCGACCATGCCCTACCCCAGTAAGCAAGAAACATTTGAGAAACATTTCAAATGAAACATAAAATTTAAAAAATGAAACATTGCTTAGATATATTTTTGAAATGTTTTATCACAACTTTCGCGAAACACATTTCTTTTACAATGTGTTCGAAACATTTCCAGTGAAATACAAGATGCGCACAACCAATACGCAACCCACTTGGCAGTGTCCTCAGTATTCGCAATGTACCTAGTAAACTTGTTTTGTGTGTGAATGTGAACTAAATAAACTGGAATTTTATAGTTATTTTTGTGCAAAATAGTAAGTATTAAACTTTTAATGTAGTTTTTACGATACATGTACCTATGTCATCATCGTCGATAATTTGGGTTTAAAATTATGACTTAACCACAAATTGATACCAGCATTTAAGCGGGATTTTAGTCTTGGTGGAATGATGTAGATATAAGGAATAATATGTATCTTGATGTAGGTATAACAAATACCCACTTTCGCGCTAATTTTTCAGTTTTATAATAGAAATAAGTCCCTAAAGTAGCCTAACCTAACCTAAAAGTTATTAATTGTGAATTTTTTCGTTTATTTGTGTGGTGTAAAGTGGCTAACACATACCTTTGCTTAACGTGCTAACAAATTTTACGTTAATAATAAATTTTATAACTGATCGCAATATTATTAAAAAATATATACAGGGTGTTTTTGAAATACACTACCAAAAGAGAGCAGGTAATTGGTGATGATAAATAGAACTAACTGACAAAAAATACTTTATATAAAAGTTTTTTCGTTTTCGAGATAAAATTAATCGAATATTCGGTCAAAATTTCCAGTACGCCACTGTATTAAAGGTAATTCAAAATGCCATCTTGTTCGCTTAGCAACAATAAAAATTTTATTTGGCAGGGTACTGTTGTCAATTTTGTGTCAGTTGTATCAAAATTGTTTACACAAATGCTGAATTAACTGATATGGTCCTACTGTATGGAAGGGCCCTTGGAAACGCTCGTGAAGCACAACGTCTTTATAGGGAAACATTTCCTGGACGAATTGTGCCCGATCATCATACATTTACCGCTACCGTTCAACATCTTAGAGACAACGGTGAATATCGTCCCCAAATGACAGATCGTGGCCGACAGAGAACTGGAAGGACATTAGCTGCTGAACCTGAGATCTTAAATATGGTAGAAGAAAACCCAAGTATCAGTGTCAGAAGGCTGTCCTACAGAGTTGGTGTTTCCCCATTTGTCGTTTGGCGTACATTAAGAGAACAAGGACTCCATCCGTATCATTTGCAACGAGTACAAGCTCTCAAAGAATCTGATTTACCTCGTCGGATTACGTTCTGCGAGTGGTTATTACAAAAAAATGATGAAGATCAACAGTTTATTGGAAACTTGCTGTCGACGGATGAAGCAACATTTACGAGAGACAAGGTATTTAATTGTCATAATACACACGTTTGGTGTGATGAAAACCCTCATGAAATTCATGAGGGGCACTTTCAAGAACGATTTAGCGTAAACGTGTGGGCAGGTATGGTAGGACATCACTTGATAGGTCCATATGTTTTACCTCCACGGTTAACTGGCGCTGCATATCTTAATTTTTTGAATAATACGTTGGAAAATCTTTTAGAGGATGTACCTTTAGCTACCCGGAGGAATATGTGGTATTTACATGATGGAGCCCCTGCCCACTATACACATGACGTGCGGGAATGGTTAAATCAAACATTTCCAAGAAAATGGATCGGAAGAAACGGTCCAGTACGGTGGCCTTCTAGGTCACCAGATCTAAATTCTTGTGATTATTTTTTATGGGGGCATATGAAGCAATTAGTCTATGCGCCACCTATTAATTCCATTGAAGAACTGACAAATAGGATTCATGATGTTTCGGCTACTATCAGAGCAAATCCAGACATGTTAAGAAGAGCGCAAGGATCATTAATTCGTCGAGCTCGGGCATGCATTGCGAATGATGGTCGGCATTTTGAGCAATTTCTATAAAAAATAAATCGTTTTCGTTTCACTACTCGCTTCTGTAATTATTCAATCTTAATTTAAAAGGCAAGATTACTTTTCAAAATCCAAGGATTTTCGAATTGTCAAATCTGACTTTACCTTTGCTTACTATACTATTTCCAGCGATAGATTGGAAAATTTTGAATTCACAATCGCCAATCGGAGAATTTAAAATATACTAACATTATACGGTTAAAGCTGTTAAAGGGTTGTAGTTTAAGTTGGCAACCAACGTTTCTTTTCCCGCGCAACGAATTTCCTACGCCTCTATGCCTGCGCCAGTCGGCCGGTTTCGTTTAACCTGTGTTTTGGACGATCTGATTAACGTTAATTTAAAATTTTGGTTCAAAAAGTTAAAAAGTGTGTTTTTTGCGTTTAGTGTTTGTGTTTTTTACTTGCTTTGATTTGTTAGGTATGATATTATAGACCTTTGTGCTATTTTTTGTGTAGTGGCTGAAGTTTGGACATTTTAGGTTAAGTTGTTTGTGTCAAAAAACGTTTCATATGGACCCCATGGAAAACATTACGAATAAAATTCATAATTACGCAAGAGTGTGTTGTTGATTTATTCTGTGCAATAATTATATACCATTATATTTTGTAGCCCTCTTCAACCCGGTGCAATATGACTGTTGTTGACAACATCCTGGCACAGAAAATGATTGCCAACGCGTATTCATTTTTCAAGAAGGAAAATTTTAATTTAAGATGCCCTACAGAGGTTGTTACTTCAATATAAAGTACGTAATGTTATTCGAAGTGTATGTTCCAGTGTAGATAATATTGTCTGTTGGAAATAAATTGTGTTATTATTATATTAAAAGTAATTTTACGTAGTTCAACATTATTTTCAAATCTACTTATATTTCAAATAAAGCGCCTTTGGCACTACTTTTTATAGCGGTCTATTTGGTGACTTTTCTGTCAGCTAATCTATCGGTGGAAATACTATATGCATTTTGATTCAAAATAATTTTAAATTCGTTGCTAGGTTTGTATTCAAATTAAATGCAATCAATTTACGTGGATATTTGCATCAGTGGTGTTCTAAGCAGGTGGTTAGAGGTGATTTTTTTCATCATTAAAAAAAGATTGAGACTTACTCAATTCGATTCCTTAAGGATGCCAAAGACCTTCATTAATTTTTGGTAACGTATTTCAAAAACACCCTGTATATAAGAAGTCTTAAGTAGTTCCATTCATAAAATCCCATAGGGGAAATGTGTCTGAGACGGCATGTTAGATAAGATGGCATACTATCGTTTTTACTAAGTTCGAATTTGAATTTAGCGCTTTGAGTAACGCCATCACGTCACTGTGGCGTAAGTAGAAAATGCTACGTAATTTGAGGTTAACTGGCGAGATGGTTTTCATGTTTGAGCAAACTGTTGAAACAGGTAAGTGTTAAAAACTTTTGTCCGTCTCAGAAAAACTCTCGTAAGATTTATTTTGAGATAAGTTGAAGGTTCTAGTAGTAATTTCTTATTTTTATTGTAATTGCGCATAAATTCATGACCACAAACCCAACGGTTTTATTCAAGATAATTATTTAAAGGTGCAATTTCGATTTAAACGTACTTTTATGTGAGATGGCACAGTAAATCTAAAGATGAGATGGCATGGTATGCCATCATGTCTTTATTATACTGATTTGTTTTACACCATTGAGATTATGTTTTTATTTGTCAGAAATGGGTCCTTATCGGAGAAAATCATCTCGTCAATCAGAATATGAAAGAAGCTATTCTCGCGGTTCGTGGTAAGAAAATGGGTTGGCTCCGAGCATCGAAAATATATTCTGTACCATCCACGACACTACGTCGACGAGCGAAAATTGCAGATGGCTGGAGAAAGGGTTACCTAGGCGGTCGTAAAAGCACGTTTGATAAAAACTTAGAAGATGAAATTGTCGCCCACGTAAAAAATCTAGAAACTAGATTATTTGGTATGTCTACAAATGATATACGAAAACTGGCTTATTATCAAGTGGCGGAAGCAAAAGGTTTATCACATAAATTTTCTGCAGCTAAAGAAATGGCCGGCTGGGATTGGTATAAAGGTTTTATGCAACGAAATCCTTCATTATCGTTAAGAACACCAGAAGCTACTTCGGCTGCACGCGCCAGAGCCTTTAATAAACCCCAAATAACAAAATATTTCAAATCTTTACTTGAAACCCTTGAAAAGTATGACTTCCAACCAAATCAAATATGGAACGTCGACGAATCGGGCTTGTCAACAGTGCCATCTAAAAATGCAAAAATTATTGCTACCAAAGGTAGGAAGCAGGTCGGCATATTGAGCAGCGCAGAACGAGGACAACATCTTACCGTTGTGTCTTGTATGAATCCACTAGGCATATATATTCCCCCAGCTTTTATTTTTCCAAGGAAAAATATGAAGCAAGAATTGTTGGATCACGCGCCCACAGGTTCAACAGGTTTTACTCAAGAAAAGGGGTGGATGACTGGAGACATCTTTTTGAAATGGCTAAAGCATTTTGTCAAATATGCAAAGCCCACAGAAGAGGAAAAAATTCTGCTTTTAGTCGACGGCCACGGCAGCCACAAAGACTTGAACGTTTTGAACTACGCAAAACACCATGGAATTATATATAATGTTTTGTTTTCCTCCCCACTGTACTCATAGAGTGCAGCCTCTTGATGTGAGTTTTTATGGGCCATTCACTAGTTTTTACAATCAAGAACTCATCAGTTGGTTAAGGAATCATCCTGGAAGAGTCATAATACATTACCAAGTTGCAGAAATATTTAAAACAGCTTATAATAAATCTGCGACGATAGAAAATGCTGAAAAGGGTTTTGCTGCAACAGGAATATATCCGTTTAACAGTGAAGTATTTCCCGATTGGATGTTTACTCCATCAGAGGTTACAAATGTTGATTTAAGCGACAATGAAACTTCCTCACAAAGAACTGAAAATGCTGAACAAATTCAGCCTAGCACATCTGCAACGTCACAGTTATCAGAAACACTAGAAATAACAAAGTCTCCCAATAAGGACATTTCCATTGAAGACATATCACCTTTACCTATTGCTGAACTTGCCAAAAATAAAAAGAAAAGAAGAAAAGGCAAGCAAGGTGTGTTAAACGACACGCCAAATCTTGAGGAAGCTAAAAAAGTTGAATCCGAAAAAAAAAAAACAAACAGAAAAACTCGCAGAAAACTGCGGTTCGAAGAGTTACTAAAAATTTATATTTTGGAGAAAGTGACGATGAACGTTTAGAGACTGATGATGAAGACGATCCAGCGTGTATATTTTGTAATGAATTATACACTGTTTCCAAAAGTGGCGAAATGTGGATTCAATGTCAGAAATGCAGAAAATGGAGCCACACAGAATGTGCGGGCTTAGTTCGAAAAGCAAAACAGTTTATTTGTGATCTTTGCAAATAATAAAAATTGTACTTTCAGAGTTAACTAATATTTTGTTTCTTTTTCAAAAAGTTGTTTTCTTTAATTATTTAATTTTTGGAAGTGTATTTAATATTTTTTTAACGGCATTTGAATATGTTTATGAAAATGTTATTTTGCTTTTTGATAAATAAACGTTTAAGAAATATTTTCTATTTTTTAACATTTGGTTAATGTTTTTGTTGTAAAATTTTAATGGTATGCCATCTCACCCTTAAGTATATAGATGAGATGGCTTGTGCGGTTGAGATGGCGTAGTGTTAATATTAGTTTATGCGAAAAAGGTTATCGTTTCAAATATGCTTCAAAACATAGTTTTGTGTTAACTAAGAAAATGCCCGAGGTGAAATAAATTAAATTTTTTTTTTTAATTTTTTATGAGGCGATTACAAAAAGTATGCCGTCTCAGACACATTTCCCCTAATAATTTGGATTTTAAACTGTATTACAAACCATCGTTTAAAACTAAAAGACATATAACAAGACTTGTAGCGAAAGAGAAATTAAAGTTTGCCTACTCTAATCTGAATGACTATGTTATGGTGCAACAGAGTGACGCCCAGCTTCATAAAGAAAACGGAATTAACAAATTTCAAACAATAACAGAACACTTCATTCCCTAGTCTAATGAATCGACGGCTCGATTCCATTTACCTGGTTATAATATTCCACTCGTAAATTCATCAGAATCGAGAAATTTCAACACACATTCAAATGCCAATGCAGTTCAGGAAGCAAATTTTAATTTTATCTCAAAATTTGTTTCATACTTGGCCATTAAATCTAAACAAATGCAAAAAATGCAAAAATTTTGTGTACTTCTGTTTCATGAAGTTTACTTTACACCTTATATAGCAGTTGATATGAAAACAAAATCGATTAGTGGTCTAGAGAACGCATGGGATCTTAAGGACACGTTCATATAGGGGGGGAAACTGGGATGGTAAGATTGGCAATACAAAGTATGTGGACCACTAGTGAGGGCTGGCGGAGGAGACAGCATCGGTGAGCAATTAGAGACACCAATGTCCATGGGCGCAAAACGACATCACTTTCGTCAATTCGCACCAAATTCTCTTTGCGTTAGGTGTAGTGAGCACGTGTTTACAAGTTTATTTTAGTTTGCTTAGAAGAAAAATAGTAGCTATCAAAGCCAAGACAACACTAAGATTAGTTTAATTGCAGTGTAAGTTGGCTATACTTTGGAGAAGGTATACAGGGTGTTATTGAAAGGTACGTACAACAAAATTGACAGTTCGTCGCGAAGTCTAAGAAGTCTGAAAAACTTATTTTGTGTTATCAAAATTATAAGGGAAAAATTAACCCTTATCCAACCTTTTTGGACGCTACTGAAGCATAAATAGGTAAAATTAATTTATTTGAGTAAATCCTAGCAACTGTAATAATGAAACTTTTGTCAAGACTAAATGCTGCTATAGAAACGAGAGATGATCTTTTTATCAGAGGCGTACACCGAATTTGGACATAAATTTTAATAATTTATATCTCTAAAAGGAGAACACTATTACCTGAATTTTTTTTAAGTTTTAGCACCCATACTTTGAGACCAATTGCCGATTTTATTTTGTACGTACCTTTCAATAACACGCTGTATGTATAGTAAAATGTAAAAAAGGACATTTTAACATAAGTGAAGTTTTAGGTTAAACCAGATCAAGACTGCCAACCATGCTCTTGTTTTCATTGTCCGTGATATTACAAAGCAATGAAAACAAGTTATTGCCTATTACTTCACTGCTAATACCATTGCCGCGAACAATCTCAAATTTCTTATCAAAGAAATATTTGTGCAGCTTCAAGATGTTGGTTTGAACCTAGTGGGTACTGTTTGTGATCAGGTTTCGACAAGTTGCTCTGCTGTAAATCAACCTTGTGCAGAAAAACATTCCAGACAAAGCCCAAATTACTTTTTTGTTAATACCCAACCGACCGTAACGATTTTTGATGTACCACATCTTTTGAAAAACACGCGAAATTCATTATTGACGTGTAAAATCCAATTTCCTCCTCACAAATTTGCAAAATTTTAATATATTGAGTCAGTTTTCAATTTTGCCAGTAAACAACTTTTAAATCTTTGCCCAAATTGAAGAGGGAGCATTTCAACTTCACAGATTCTCGTGTGAAGATGTAAGTGTAAGCAGCTGCTGCCCAGCTTAGCAGTTCTGTGGCTAGTGCCACAGAAACTTTCGTAACTTTTGCTAATGTTTTATCTTCCGCAGCCATCCACACAGCAGAGTTTGTGCAAAAAATGATTTGCTTAACTCCCTCAGTAGTTCAAATTTCCAAGTTTCAGATTACAAACGCTTTAAATACGCACTTTCTGAAAATTCCCCCCTTTTGAAATTTTGGTCAAAATTGTTAACAGAAATGAATCAGTGGAGATTTATTGATTTGAAAAACGGAGCTAATCTCAAGAATCGTTATCAGTTTGTTAAGGGTTGGCAAACGACGATCAAATCAATCATGCTTCTCTGATCCAGACTCAAAGATATTGATGGGACTGAATAAAGACTCATTTGAAAATCTTTTTTTAGTGTCCATGAACATGGGGCTGCAAACAGCCGTGTCATCAAATTACTCCAGCTTTGAAAACTGTTGTTGTAAATAAATTATTTGTCACCCAGTAATGTTGATGGCAATTATGAGGCTTAATGTAGCTTTTAGATGATCTTGTGGGGCTCCTGGTAGGTGCGGATTCTCAAAAATTCCACAATGTAGAGGATCAAGACATAATCACAAGTATCAATAAATTTTGAAGTTCCAGATCTTGATAGATGTGGAACTTCAAAACTTATTGATACTGACTATATTTAAAATGTGATAGGTTAAGCCTTGTGTATCTTCCTTCGGAAGATATGTTGTAGGATGGGTTCTAAAATTCTGGTATTCCTGGTTGTGACTCTTGTCAGAGTATTTTATATTCTGGGATGGTTACACACCGCCATCATCTTACATCGCTTAGGGAAAGAAATAATCCAGCGGTTAACGTATGCCAATGTGTAATGGCTCTTGTCGATAAAATACATTCTTGTTTGTATGAATTCCTTGAAAATTATGAATTCCAGAGAAATCTGGAAGATGAATTCAAGAGTTTGTTCAAACAGAATGTAGGGTAAATGTGGTATATGTGTCCCTAGAGGATAAACGCCCCAATGCTATATTTAAGAAACTATATGCCAGAGGTCGCTACTTTCTTCTCTAATGACGCGTTTTGTATCACAGTAGCCTCAGACGAAGTGTGGAGTGCGTAACTCTCAATGTTTTAATAATATTAAAATAATTAAAAACTCAGGTAAGTCATTGTTAATAACACCAATTTTCGACCTTTTAGTAGACAGAGTTAATTGCACAAATTTAGTGTAAACAATTCGATTTTTGACTTTATAACCTCTTAAATGATTTCTCTAATACCAAACGTTGGATTTATACCAGAAATAGTGCGGGAAATTTAAATATTACGTGGGGGATATATCCTAAATAAAATTTAGCAGTAGCGATATATGCCCTAGTACAGTTAATTTTATAATGTATGTAAGGTTCAGTAACTTTTTGATAATTACAGAAATGCCACGAAAATACCAAAGGAAACAAAATGTTACGCCTCGGGTATTTTGGACTGAAGAAAACTTGCGCCTGGCGATAGACAAAGTAACGTCTAAACAACTTGGTGTGAATGAAGCTAGCAGAGAACATAGTATTCCTTCTAGAACACTTCGAAGGCGAATTCAGGTAAATAATTCATCAAAATTAGTTTTGAGAAAGCCACCGGCTCTAGGAAAAATCAATGAAGATCGATTAGTAAAACACATCCAAAAACTCCAAACTATGGGGTTTGACCCATTAGAAAAAACTGTTCGTACGATTGCTTATAATTTTGCAAAAAAACTAAATTTGGAACACAAATTTTGTGTACAAGGAAATAGTACAAATATGGCTGGTACACACTGGTTTTATTCATTTATGGATAGGAACCGTGAGCTCTCTTTAAGAAAAAGCGAAGGTCTGTCACTTGCGAGGGCAAAAGGTATGAACAGACAAGAAGTGGAAGAGTTTTACGATTTATTGAAAAACACTCTAGAAAAATATAATTTGTTTAATAAACCCGGATCCATTTTCAACATGGATGAAAGTGGCATTCAAATGGAAGTAAATGCGTACATGTTATCACATCTAAAGAAAAGGGAGAAAGTATTTCAGTCATAGCATGTGCTAATGCACAGGGTACGTTCCTACCACCAGTTTTAATATTAAAAGGTGTACGAAAAAATTCTGCCATTCTAGAAGGAATGCCTCCATCGTCGGATTTATAAATAAATAATGAATAAGTAATAAAGAAGTATTCGTCCCGCGAAAACCCACAGGTTTTGTTCTTTTAATTCTTGATGGGTACAGTTCCCGCTGTAGCAACTATGAAATGTTGGAGTACGCCGAACAAAATAGTACGAGCCCTAACAACTAAATATTGGGACACCAAAAATTTTTTATAAAAAAATCACCAAACTTTTTAACAAAAATGTAATTTATTTTAGATAATTAAAATTTTAAAATTAATTCGTTATGCAAAACTGTTATGTTTACAGCACAACAAAAACTGATTTCTAACTCAAACAGTGATATAAAACTCCAAAACAACGTAACATTTTGTGACACATAAATATTGGGACACAGCAAATTCAGTAACTGGTCATATCTCCTTTTGCCTTAATAACTGCAGGAATTCTTGCCATCATACTTTCAACTAATTTTCTACAATACACAGGAGTTGTTACCGTATCCTACACTCGCTAA